TACAATCAAAATAGAACAGTAAGCAAGTGAAGCTTGAATGGCTCTCGAATATTTCTCAGTGTGTCATCCACGGCCGCCATAAGCTTCTCCTAGGGTATATATAAGATCTCCTTAGGGTTGGAGTCTTCTACAAGGCATAGGACTTCATCAAGATTTCCTTCCAAGATAATAACATATCTTTGGTAAGTAAACCTTTTATTCTCTCTCCTTGATCTCCTCTCCAAGCATGTCTCTTTCCTCCTTCTTTATCTCACCACACGTAATTTCCTAGCATATCAAAACGGTAATAAGATCAACATGAACTTATATAAGGAAAATAAAACAATATTACATAAGGAAATATAATATATAAAGATCTTCCCTTTTATTCTGTGGTTCCAGGTGCTTGTTCGAACTAATCGAACTAATGCCAAAATAAAATATCTTTCATAAATAATTTAAAATAATGGAAAGAAGGATAAAATATTAATTATGGAATAATATTTAGTGCGACAGTTGAGATAAAAATTACTTTTTTGCTTTAGTCTACTCAGATAGAGTAATCTCTATACCATATTAGAGATAAAAGTCTTAGAGATGACCAAGGACCAAGGTCATATTAATGGTGTTTTGCATCAAAATTGTGTAACTTTTCCACGAAATTTCCAGTTATCTCATACCTCTCCAAAATTTGCACCAAAAGTCATATTATCAAAAGAATATATTATTTTTACAACAAACATGCTATTAAAAACTAATTAATGACATAGTATATTAGATAATATAATACAATTAGTTAGTATATTTTCAATGATTATATGTGAAAACCTAGTAGTAAATAATGAGACATTTAATATGAAGTTTTCTACATATTTCATAAGTTGTTTTTTGGTATTTATTAAGAAATGACTAGAAATAGTATTATCGGATGTTTTAAATTTCAACCATTAGATACAATCATATTACTCTAATATAAATGATAAAAACCAAATTTTTTGCAACTATATCTTAAATTAACAATTTTGATTGTTATATAAATATAGAATTTATAATAAAATAATTATAAATTAATTCTTATATTTTAAGAAATACGATTATATAAATGTGGGTAAAAAATATTATACTAATTAGCTTGTTTATGAATATGTTTAAAATTTTAATTTTGAATTTCAAACAGAGTAGAAGACGGAATAATTAAAATTGTTTTCAAAAAGTTTTTAAAGTGTTTAATATTCTGGTAAGTATACCCTTAAGAATAATTTTACTATTTTAATTTCAAAAATTTTGGCAAGTTTATTAATTAGATAAATTTTGTTAGACAAAAGTTTAATTAGTTAAAATATTATAATAATTATATTTTAAAAATTCTAGTTAAGTAATTGTAATTGTATTAATTAGTTTGTTAGGAATGTGATTATATGGAAGTTAAGATAAAATAAAATGTGCCCAAAAAATCTACTTGTGGTCTTTTCCTTTAAATGTTAGAATTTAAAAATCTAATATATCACGTAAGGAAAAAAATTAATAATAAATATTTATTAAAGAGATAAATCAATAATATTTATATTAGTTATATCATAAAAAAATTAGTCATATCATTTTAATTTCAAAAAAAGTGGCAAGTCTGTTAGAGAGAAAATTCCGGTAGATAAATGATTAATTTGTTAAGATATTATATTAGTTATATCATAAAAAGTTTAGTTAGATAATGTAGATAAATAAATATAATATTAATTAGTTTGTTAGAAATGTGATTATATGAGAATCAAAATAAAATAAAAAATTTACCCAAAAAATCTGCTTGTGATTTTTTTCTTTAAATGTTTGAATTTAAAAATCTAATAACCAAATTTAGATTATAAAATTAATTATATTTTATTTCTATTTTTTTCCTCCTCCATTATATTTGCTTCCGCTGCTACTTTTCCGGGATCATGCGACTCAACTCATCACAATCACATCTTTATTTAGTTTTATCAACTCATTAAAATTACATCTATTAAAATGAAAAAATTATAATGAAAAATTGTAAATTATAAATTATAATAATACTTATAATTTAATTATAATGAAAAATTATAACTTATAATTAAAAATTATAATTATTTTAATTTAAAANATCGAACGTCCAAATTATAACATAATCAAGACTAATGTATAACATAATAATTCTAATATATAACATAATAATTTCTAACTCCTAACACGATAATATCTAACGTCTAATTTATAACATAATTATTTCGAATATATAACATAATAATTTATAATAATATTATTTAAAAAAAAAAAACATGGTGTCCGGCCGGTCGGACGGGTCACGATCGACCGTCAGGGCCGGACGCCATTTGGGCCGTCCGGTTTCGGCGGCCGGACAACATTAATTTTATTTTTTTTTTACTTTTTGGAAAAAAATGCCAAGGGCAAAAATATCCAGAGAGCGGTAAATAATAATAGGGGGACGGTGAATAGTAATGCTCAATATTTTTTATAAACTGAGTCTATTTTCTACATCACTTGTAAATTAAACCAAAGCATTGGTGTTCTTTAGTTACACGGGTTCTCGCAATAATTTATGGTTAAATAATAGACAGGCTCCGAAATAGAAGATTCCTTTACTGAGAGTACCGTTGGAGATGCCCAGTTATTCAATGCCAATAAGTCAAAAAGACTCGCTCAAATTTTCAGCTCTTTATTTCATCTCGTTTTTTGTTCTTCACACTCACTTGATTTTATTCTCCTCACAAATTCGTTCTGATTCTCCCCATCTTTTGTTCCAATGGACTCAAAATCTCTCCTCCTTCCCCTGCTTTTTCTGCTCTCAGGTAATAAATAAATAAAAATTCATGTAGGAGTATATGTTAAAATAAACAGTTAATTTTCAATTCTACCTTTACTTTGTCTTTTTCACTGCATTTTAACCGCTGTGTGATTTTTTCTTTTTCCGTTTGAATCAACGGCAGCCGCATTGCTCTTCCCGGCGGCGTCCGGTGGCGGCCTCTGCATCAACTATGGCCGGATCGCCAACAACCTCCCCTCACCGGAGGCGGTGGCTCGCCTCGTCGGCACCATCCACGCCGCCAAAATCCGGATCTACGACACCGAGCAGCGCGTCCTCAGGGCCTTCGCCGGCACCAATGTCGAGATTACCGTCGGCCTCGGCAACGAGTACCTTGCCTCCATGGCAGATTACCCCACCGCCCTCGCCTGGGTCAAGTCCAACGTCACCTGCTACATGCCGCAGACCAAAATCACCTCCATCGCCGTCGGCAACGAGGTCCTCACCGCCGACGGCGCCGTCCGCCCCGACGACCTACTTGCCTCCAGCAGCACCGCCAGCCCCAAGGACCTCCTCCCCGCCATGGAGAACATCCACAAAGCCCTTGATTCCCTCGGCTACGCCAGCCGCGTGTCCGTCACGACCGCGCACAATTTGGGGATTCTCAACGTCTCCTACCCACCGTCGGCCGGGGAATTCCACCGCGAACTGAACCAATACCTGAAGCAAATCCTCGATTTCCACTGCAAAACCGGCTCGCCATTCATGATAAACGCCTATCCGTACTTCGCCTACAGGGACAACCCTAAACACATTTCTCTGGAATTCGTGCTTTTCGAGGCGAACGGCACGGACGTGGTCGTGGACCCTGCAACGGGCCTGCACTACGACAACATGTTCGAGGCCCAAATCGACGCGGCCCACGCGGCGATGGAAAAGCTAGGGTACAAAAACGTGTGCCTGCAGGTGTCGGAGACGGGATGGCCGTCCGACGGCGACGAGGCGGGTGCGACGACGGATAACGCGAAGACGTACAATACGAACCTGCTCAAGCTGATTAATAGTAGGAAGGGGACGCCGATGAGGCCAGATCTGGATCTGAACGTTTACATTTTCGCCCTTTTCAACGAGAACCTGAAGCCCGGGCCCAAATCTGAGAGGAACTTCGGGCTATTTAAGCCCGACATGACGCCGGTGTATGAACTTTTCAATTTGAATGGTGGTTCCGGCGGCACGCCTCAGACCGGCACGCCGCAGCTCGGCCCGCCGGCGGTGGTCATGCCTTCACCGGATGGCTACATAATCGATGGGGCGGTGAGATTTTCTTTTTTCATTTTTCTTTTTTCTCCCGATTATTTTAGGGGATTAGCTTTTTTAAATACTGCCTCGTTTTGCTGCTTTTTAGCTTGCTTTTAATTAATGCGCTTCATTTACTTCTTTAAAATTTAAGTAACGGCAAGTAGAATTGATTTTTTTCTTAAACAATTTATTATAAATCAACCCCTCGTGCTAATTAATAAAACATCTCATCAACATAGATTAGTTAGGTAAAAAGGAAATAATACAGCCTGTACAATGCAGATTTTTTGTCTTTCCAAACTAAATTATATTTTTCTCAATAAAAAAATCAATTTGAGTTTTATGACTATTTATAATACAACTGTATATTTTGACCATATAATAATTCGTAAAACAGCACTCGTGTATGGTCAACATACACAAAAAGTTGGAAAGTATGAATATTTATGAAGTTGGATTTTACAAAAGAAAAATTTAATAGAATGCAGATACCAAAAACCTGTACAGCACAAGTTGTGAATTTNCATAAGTTATTGTCATTTTTTACCCCAACAGCCCCATGTGAATGATACATTTTCCAGTGAGGGTTTAGTTCCTAAACATAATTAGGAGCTTCAGTTCACCTTGATTTGGCTTAACTTGTGTGGTAAATTTTCTAGTGGCAATTACAGTCAGTTAAACCTGAATTTCCTTATCAAAGGCTATAGATTTTTCTAAGGACATATATGGGCAAAAAATGTAAACACTCTATTTTGCTGCACGTTTCTATAAATTTGATTGACTCATGATGAATGACTCAATTGATCTTTTTCTTTTAAGCGGATAATGAACAAAAGACCTATCTAACTGCAAAATATTACAACATCCTTAATTTGGTATCCATCGTGGTATTTTTTTGGCCTGCAAAAAAATAGCATGAAATTGCAACTCCATTAACCGGTCGAATTTCTGTTGTACGGAATTACAGGGGAGACTTAGATTCAACAGAGGAGGGGCATTTTTGTCCTTTTTGTGCACGGTGGTCTCGACAATTTTGTTGCGCTACTACTCTGGTTTCATGTGAAATGACGATAGCCATAAATTGATGACTCATTGAATTTAGACGATGGGATGCAAGAAAAGAGAGGAATAAATAAACACAGATTGTTAAAATTAGGCGGCAAATAGATAGCATTCTGAGCAATAACAAACAAACCCTTGGTTGCTTTCAGAGTCATCATCTTCTTTCATAACTTGGAGCACTAAAAGCTGCCTAGACAACAATGGCAATCTCCTCACTTTTTTGGCCGTGTTGTGAAATTATTTTTTTTTTTTCTTTTTTAAGTTAGGTTTAGCCATTTTTAATGTATTGATTGTACTAGGAATAGGAAAGGAACCTTATAGTATTAGCTCTGCATGGACCCGTTTACTAGTTTCTCTCTATTCGATAATGCGCAGCGCGTAGCTACATTGGAGGCTCTACACTGCATATTTAGATTCATTTTGATTTAGCCCAACTCAAATTATATTGTTCATTCACTTACTCATCAGCATATTTTTCTAATTTTTCTTTTCGGTGAACGCAATAAAAAAATAGGTTCAAACTTGTTAGTGGTAATACGATGATTTTGGGAGTTAGGCACCGATTGTAATTGAAATTTATTCCGTCTTTACTCTTGACTGGCCGAATAAATTTTCTACACCATTTTAATTTAAAAGTCAACTCAAATTAATTCAATTAACTTTGTCAATATTATAAATATAGTTAAGTAATAACAATTAATTGTTATTATACATTATCTTTTAATTTATTATCCAACCACTCGTGTAATTTTAATTATCCGTCACTTTTAACCACTTATTCCCTACTTTTATGTTAAATCAAATTTAGCCATTACATTTTAAATATTATATTAAATCAACTTTATTCAAAATTAACTCACTTTATTCAGAAAATCAAATTCAATCCAAAAAAATTTATTTCCATAGATCTGGATTTTGATTTGAATTTTTCCTTTTGTGGATATAATAGTTGTGATACTTNCTAAATGGGAATAATAGTTGATAATGTAAATGAATTAGAGAGAAAAATATAGCTTGAAAATTTATTTTATTGTTTTCAAAGTTGATTTTGATGTAAAATAATATGATACAATACAATTGATAATTAAATTTGTCAGAATGATCAAATAGGAAATATTTATGTAACGGCCTCAGATCGCCCTCCAGATATGATAGTAGTCGTACCAACATTAATCTTTCCAGTGCTCTTTGAGTACTTTCAAGCATGCATCCTGAGAAATTTCCTAGAAAAGTAGGTGCACCTATTGATATAACTTTCACAAATCAAGTCCTTAAAAATTTTCCCAGCGAGTCTCATAACATGACTTAAAGTATCACAATTTATGTCTCTATGTCCCACAAAAATCTGTTTATAGTATTTCACATAGTTTAAGAATATATTATCAATATTATTGGAAGGTAAAAGTTAAGAGTATTTTCTTAATATTCCTTTTGAATAAATAATTATTATCGTTATATAATTATTTTATTATTGAAACTAGAGGTATCAAAAACAAAAATTAGATAATTTATGGTATCATTAACTAATGGTTACATGACTTTCTAAAAGAAACGTGTTGAAAATTAACATGAAAAATTACGATACACTTCTATTTATTAATTAAGCCAAACCCTACATATAACAACCTATTCACTATGGAGCTAGAAAATAGAGTAGGCGCTCAATTTTTCAACATATTATTGCTATTTTACATGGAAATAACTTTTTACCAGGTTTCGAAATAATGGCCAAAATATTTAAAAAAGACACTTTTACATATGTATCTTTTTAGTATCATATTTATAAATTTAAAAAAATAAGTTATTAAAATAAAATCATCGTACGGCATATAAAATGAAGATGACTTTAGTTTACCTGAGCTTATTCATGCCAAATATCCCTGCAAGTTTTCAACTCATATTATGCAAATTTCCACATAACATTCCACATCACATTATTCAGCAGCTACTAAACAAGCGAGTAGCTTTAGAATCTCCATTCATCCCCCAAAGCAAATCCAAGTAATCGAAAATTAGGGGTAAAGGCCAAAATAGGTTATACACAGGTAAACAAGACCCCATTATACAACAACTAATTGCCATCCAAAAATTTCCTACAACAAAATTAAATTAAATTAAAATCAAGCATACCATGTCTTTTCTTCTCATACATAATAATCTTATCTGATCCTTATATCCTCCAATCGAACGGCTCTCATTTTCATCGACAAACTTCACTTACATTGCATCTACTTAATCGTTCTTCTCCATTAGAAGCCGTCAAAAACCATGCCATGTATGCCACAGCCAAAAACCCTGTTGAGCATAACTTATCCCAAAATTGGTATGCAAACATTCAAGAGGCCCTATGACTGCCTGATGGCTCGGCCACAGTCCCAGTGGCTGTAGTTTTTACTCTACGGTAAAAAAGCACATAAGCTGCCGATGTCTTTATTTCAGACTCATTGACAGGCGAAACGTGCGCATCATCAAAGTGATACCATCTGTTCTCATCTACTAACTGCAAGAAAATACGAATAAATCCGGCCGCATTCAATCAAAACAAGAGGCAAAGGCGGTAAAAAATTTGAGCAGACTTGATGAGTATTGGTTGGAAATGAAAAGGTCAGAAAAATTAAATATTTCTACCACATAATTGTGTATGACATCAAATAAGAACCAACCCTTAATGTGTGAACCGTAAGAAAGCTATCTTAAAATGTATGTGATGCTACTTTTCGTTGTGTTCGTTGCAATGTTTTAAATACCATACCATAACAGTTGGAAATACCGGATACCAGTGGTCCGATCCGGCTGGTATGGTAACCCTTTCAACAAAATACGGATTTATCCCAGTTTCATATTGGAAAATATAGGCCAAAATACCGGCTAAAATACCTGATATATAATTTTTCATATTATTAAGTTTTTTACATAAATACATAAATTTATAGTATTAAATTTAATTTTAATATGTTTACATTCTTATTCGATTTTAGTTCAATTTTAGTATCAAATAAAGTGGGTTTTATACATTATTTATATTATAATAATAAATTCAATTAATATTTATTAAAACTGGTTGAACCGTGTACCAGTGGTTTGTCCAATTACAGTAATTAAAAACACTTGATTGTTATAATTTTTATATAGGATTTATTTTTAATAACTTCAAACTCTATAAAGATATAGCATCTATGTCTTCTATGTCTATGGTATATGAAAATAAAAATAGCATCATATATTCAAAAATAGTATCATATTTGATTCTCAAACCAGTGATTGTTTTTGTTACTTGTTAGAACTCCACTGTATACAAACACACACACACACACACACAAATGTTATCAATAAATACGCTAATATACAAAATTTGCATAAGTGTGAATTGGTCAATTACTGATACGTAGTTTTGATTTTGATTAACACAGATATGGTAAAAATAGGATGTGATAGTTCATTATAAAATTTATAGTACAACACCCATGATTACACGGGTAAAAAAATGTTTCTTATTTAAATTTCAAATACTTTTTTAAAAAACTACATTATTATTTATATATTTAAAATGATACTTTTCACTTGTACGATTTTCCGGTCTTATATTATAATAATTTTTTTAATTCATGTGTAATGTATTTATGTTATAAGTTAGTCAAGTATTTTCTGCTTTTAAAAGTGTTAATAGGTATGGATAGAATACAGATGTACATGGGCTACTCTGAATTATGCTCACGTATATACATAAAGGGAAGTTTTTATTTTACGTTTTAAATCATGTTTCCAAACTTAGATTGTTATTTAAATTTAAAATGACACTTATCACTTAGGAACTTTTTTAATTCATATTATATAACGAATTTAATAAACAAATTTATTTAATTGATAAATAATTTTATTATTTTTCAATTAATATTGATATATAATTTGATTTTTATAATAAAAGGTAAATATATATATTTAATATTTATTTATATAAAAAATGGATGCCAAATCGAAACTCGCTATCGGACGATTAATTTAATATATTAATATTATATATGAAAATCAGATAAAAAAAAAATATGAAAGTTATTTACTTTTAATATATATTCGTAGTTTAAGTGAGTACAATCATTCATATAGGATGGACTACTGAATGCAGCTCAAAAAAAATTACCTTGCAATATGCCGAATAGTGTCCTCCACCAAGGCCCCCATAATGATTGCTGATGGCATAGAGTTCGTACAAATGGGAGCCTTCTTCCATGCCACCGCTCTTCACATATTTGCTCAAATCAAGATTATGGATAGGGAAGTTGACAAATGTATCAAGTTTGTTTTTCAGCCATCGGCTATACGAGAATCTTTTCAGGTGAAAGACAAGTATATCCGGCAGCCTCCACAAATCCAACTTTTTACTCGCTTGCCTATGTTCCTTGCACCGAGGACAATACCTACATGCAATAATATTTCAAGAGCACGACAAAAAAAGTTAGAAAGTAAAGTCCAAAGCGCAAACAAATGTTCACAGAGAACTCAAAAAATATTTGAAAGCATGTGTGAGATTGTACCACATATCATCGGGACCAAGTGGCTCCTCCTTTAGAAATGCATCCAAACACGAAAATAGAGAGATGGCCTCCTGCTTAGTTTTCTTTGCTAAAATTCCAGGCTTGTGCACCTCAGGAAGATCCTTTAGGTAGCTGGAATCATAAAGCTCGTGTTCCTTTTCAGTCCAGTCAAGCACTACTTTGACTATACGACCTGGTTTTATGGGTGAGTCCTTCACTAAAGGCCTGCTGCCAAAACCCTTAGCATCAGTAATGCTAAGCCGGAAAGATAACTCTCGAGTAGACATGCCCTTTGGCTCCATTTCATCTATTGATTGGAGTTCAGATTCCAACTGAGTGCTCGAAATCTTCATTTCATCTTCCATTGCACTATTCTCGGAGCCATTTTCTCCATTGATGTGGATTGTTGTTGAAGCCAGAAATGATTTCCTTTTTAGAGGGGAAAGCATTCGGTTTACGGCTATGTCAATATCAGCTCCGGACTGTGGGTCCTCCAAGGAAGTAACTAATGGTGTTAGGAACATCTTCCTTTCACTATGAAATAGAAAAGGTGGTATCAAGGTCAGCAAGCCAAGTAATAAGTAGAAATTGAATCAGAAAATATGATTGTTATCAAAGCATTTGGTCATGAGATAAAAGCACAAGAAATATCACTATTTTCATGATTCGGATCTAATCATGCAACACCAACCGGAAATACACATTGAGTTCTTTAACGTTTAAACTAGTTTATATAATGGTTTTCTATGTCTTCAAGAACTACAACGTTAATCGACACATATATTCCTTTCAACTAGTCAGACTTATTGTTACAGAATATATATATATATATATATATATATATGTATATGTATATATAATCGACACACACACACATATATATATATATATATAATCGACACACACACATATATATATATGTATATATCGCTCACTTTCTTTTATTATACTTTCCAGAGAAAAAGTAAAAAGTTACCCACAATATGCAATCAATGCAAAATGCATGCTTGTCGGAATGCATTGAAAGATCTAGACAAACATATAAATTTTAAACTATTACGTGATATTAAATTTCAAAGTCCAGAACATGAATAATCAAAAAGAAAGAGCAACTCACATAACATCATAATCACTGAAATTTTGTACATAAAAATAAGACAATGAAAGCTCAGCTCATGCCAACAAAAGAGCAAAAAACTCACGTCTCCTGGTATCGGTGGCATATCTCTAATCTTGTTAGATCTGTGTCTCTTTTGGGAAGCCTGTAGGCAACAATATGTTCTTCATCCTTAATTGTTGCCAAAGATTCTGACGGGTTTTCCAAATACCGATATATTTGGTGTTCATAGACCTACAGATAAAAGACTCAAAGTTCTTAACGTAAATTGGTATACAAATATCTAACTCAAAACCCAGACATGCAAAAATCAATACATAATAAACACAAACAATAGGTACCTCAGCAAGGAGCAAGTATTCATCACTGCCTAAACAGCAAGCAATGCCCAAAGCCTCGTTAAGGTCTTTGCAGCATCCTTGCTTGAGAACCGTAACAGTGAATGGCATTGGAAGGCCCCTTCCATCACCATAAAACACTGTTACTGTCATTGACCGAGTAGCAGTTGAAGGAAGAGGCAAGGAGAGATACATGAATGGATCAAAAGTTATTGAAATCTTATTGCATTTAGGGCAGACCAGCGTTGATTTGTATTGGCCCTGACAATATTAACACCTATTAGACAATAATCAACAGAAGACATAGAGATAATTAAATACAGAAGCAAATTTTTCAACAGTAAAATTTAAGAAATAGCATTCGTTAGTAACTGTGGTTTACGGTAACTCGGTCCATGAAAAATTATTAGATGAACTAACGAAAAGCACCCTGAGAAACAGAAACAATGCAAATGAGCATTATTCAAACTACCATAAAAAATTATATGAGGCCAGCAACAGCTTCCCGGAAGAACGAATATTGAGTAAATAGCTTCAGCTATTATTGTTAGAAAAATGGAAGAGGGGAAGTGGAGAGAACTAGAAATTTTATTATATGGTTCTTTTTCTTGCTTGACTTCTTCACTCTTACAACTTGCAAAGGTCGCCATCATAGGGTACATATAGGTATAAGAACTCCCCTAGTAACTAAGATACATTTTCATATTCATCTTCACCTTCACGCATCCAATGAACTCACTTCCATGCACCATATTAATTCCTATAACTTGACCACCTAGATACATGGATGGATGGATGGATTCTTCGAATACATTCACCAGACATTAATTTAGTTTATTTAACAATTATAGCTTCAAAGAGTAAAGTATTAGGGGAAAAAAGGAGAGCGCAAGATGCAAGTCATAAAATGTCATTCACAAGCCACCAAGTAATACTATCAGCTATTGTATAGCATACTGAATATTTCAGGCAGAACCTCATTTTAACAATATATACACACACATACACCACCACACGCGTGCACTAAATTAACATGTCAGGATCTAACAAACTTACAACTAAAAATTTACCTGTTTCTATATAATACCATTGAAAAACTCATTAAAACACAAATAGCTTATTGAACATTAGAGGTGCAAGTATCTTGCGATACAAGTCAAACACGAGCTGGACAGAGCAATTAACCTGGCAAATATCAACAATTATCGAATCATTTCTCGCTTTGTGATATCTCCAGAACTCATCTGCGACTTCCTCATCAGGTCGACCATCAAAATCTTTTGCTTCGATATATGGTTTTTGTTTCACACGATTTAGATCTTCATGAAGCCCATCTAGCAAAAACGCAAGGAGTTCCTGAAAACAAGGTGCAAGTCATTCTTCTAAACAGAATAGTCATTACTTATAAACTTCTTGTTACAGGAACCGTTCCCATCAATGGGAAAAGGTAGAGCAGGTACACCATGATTAGACTGTGCCATATAGTTATGCTATAAATCACCGTATATTACAGATTCTTCTGATAGAACCATTGGGTAAATCTGACATCATTGCCAAAGGCACGTAAACTATATTACTTCAGATGGCCAAAAAGACGATAAAGCAGTTAGGAAAAGGAACCAGAACACATTGGACCTGAGGATCATCATGTATTCTATACGTTATGATGTAATTCTTTTAAATACAAGACTTCATTCTATTCAGTTTGAAAACCAACCTGAGAATCATGTTGGTTATACCCACTAAACTGTGGAGCAAAACGAGCAAGCTTCCCCTTAAACACACGAGGGGCAACTGGTGTTCGACCAGAAGACCAGAGTTTCCTCAGTAGTTCTCCAAAAGCAAGGGCAAGTTCCCCCTGAAAGGGAAAATAAGTCATTAGGGCACATGCAGCAACAGATCATGATATCTTCCATTATAAAAATCTTGCATAACAGCTAGAACAGAGAGCTTACATGCATTCCTAAAGGATTCTGTCTGTTGATCTCATCAGTGTAATCTTGCAAGAAGTAGTCAACCAGGTTTGGTGTATGAACTAAACACTGAACAGCACTATTCATGAAGCAAGTGTTCCCCAAATTTTGCAACCCTGCCAAACCCTTATCTCCCCTCGCCACAGGGTTTACATCATTGTATCCATTTTCCATACCTCCACATGTGGACGAAGAAGTGCTTCTTTGGTATAAGCTGGAGCTATGACCAGTTGAATTACCATTCGACATAGTAGGGCCACCGGCAATTGAAAAGGATGATCTCATAGGCTCCACTGGAACCATAGCTAAGCCGTTCCCAGTTGAATCCATGCCAGAATCGTCAGCTGGCACCTCAAGAAGAATCTGTGAAAGGCGCAAAAAGTTTTCAGATCAGAGCAACATGCTATTCACACACAGAAATGAATTATCACAGAAAATGAAGAAGATAAGAAGTGCCTTAAATATGATCATGTTGCCTTGAGAAATACTTATAGCAAGCAATCACATATACAAAATTTACCATCATTTGTTAAACCATCAAGTAGAAATAATCTGCAGAACTTATCAAGATTTGTGTTTTTTTTACTTTTGGTATTGTAAAATATAAAAGTAATTCAAACAATTGAAGAAAGGAAAGAGGAAGGAGTGGACATAGGGACACAATCTCGGGGGTATTAACAGGTCCGAGAGGGAATATCTAATAAAAAGTTATAAGGCTGGTTCTTCATTTGGTCCCTTAATTGAGGCCAGCCTATCTGATGATGCCAATTATTTGGGAAACACAAAGATCGATAATCAGCTTGTGAAAATACACTGTCCATCTACAACATCCTGCTAAATTTTGTAACTTTTGATCCAAACATTACAGAAAATAATATGAGGAAATACACATTCATTGATTTATGTATAATTGAGAAGTCTATTCAGCAAAGGAATTGAAATAGCAGTAAAATACATTCAAAATAATTCATTAGGGAATGTTGGAGCAGCAAAATAGTTTCCCAAAGCAGACGTATTAATTACAACCCTATACAATAACACGATTATAATTAGAGAAGCCTATACAATAACACGATTATTAAAGACGAGTATTTCTCCCAAAATGCACCAAGCAGATCAAACCTACACTTTGATCCATCTCCAAATTAGAATCCTGCAAGGTTTGACTAGACGAAATTAATATAGTTTGCTTCTTCTTATTGAAGTAGTCCCAGATGTGTGCCTGTATAATATTTGGAAAGAGGTTATAAATAGAACAATAAACTTGTCCACATGATCCCAATACAGGTAATAATGACATATTTTGCCCGTTACTATACCTTATCGGTTTGCAAGCCTTTAAGCCGACAAACTTTCACATAGAGGTCATGTAGGGAAGCCTGAAAACAAAATCAGATAGAGTGGACCTGGATTTGGATACATAATACTAATCGATGCTTCAACAAGAAACAAACAAAGGAGAATGTACCATCAAATAAATGTTCTTAGACAAATACTGCAAAACTATTTTACCCCTACACATCAATGATCAGGTTGATATGCATGTATGTTTTGAATAGACCGGAACAGGAAATATATATATATATATGTATATTATATAACACTTATCTCACTTCACAAAACTCTAGCCTCAACTGAGAAAAAGTATCACGAAGCATGCACACTTAATATTTAGAGTTAACAAAGGCGACTATACAGCTATGAATACTGAAAAATATCACGAAGCATGCATAATTACAATGTAGATTTAGAAAGGGCAAGTGCACAACTATGAAAACTTGTCAATAACATATAGAAAGGAAAAACACACAATACAGCTAACTTAGGATAGAAATGTCAGGAAAAACATCATATATTCAATCATAATCATCCAGTTAAAAGGAACGAATAACAAACAAGTTAAGTGATTATACCTTTTTACTAAGTCTTATAATTACTTCACTCTGGTCTCTAGAGTCAATTAGCATGAGAGAAAGAGGGAAGACCTCCACAACAAATTGTTTCGGTTGATCCCCAACAGAAATCATCTTTCGTGGCAATGCTGGACCTCCTTTATACCTGAGGACCAGGTAATACGACGTTCATGAACATATTAAGTGGAGGCCTGTATGTAACTACCCGACAACCCAGTCATCAAAAGGATCAGCAATCCAATTTTTATGTTGCAGAGGCATGGAAAGAATGATAAAAAAGTCAACAGAAACTTGTGTATGGCCCATACAAACACGTAGAAAATACCACTGAAAATAACCCAATTGAAATATTTGGCTTTTGTCTGGAGAACAGGCAAATGCACTAGACTTAGAATCCACAGTTCTGTTAACCATTACATTATCCGGTTCGTATCGGTGTTTAATTGTTAAAATATAATTTTAAAAAATAAAATAAAAATAAATGAAATGAAATGAAATAAAATAGTTTTTATACCAACCACAATATTATATTACCATTTCAAAAGCTTCTCCCAAACTTCTTGTGGAACTAAAACATAATCACGCCCTTCCTCCACAGTTCTGAGAAGCTGTGGGTCATCATCTTCATTTTCCCGTCCACTTGCAATTATATCATTGTTGTCAATAACTCCAGGTCTATCTTCCAATGTTAGAGGTTGAGATATAATAGAATGATCCTCAAATGGATAAGCACCTTCTGTTTGCCCAGTGTACCTCTGCCATCTTCTGAACCACCTAAAAGGGTAACAAAGCAACATAATCACTTGATGTCTGGAGATTGGAAAATAAAATTTCAGTAGACTTTTAATGCCTAAGTTAAAACTTTCTATCATACATCTACGTGGTTGAATTCCCTATATGCAATATTATGAATTGATCAACAGCAATAAAAACATCCACCAAAAGCTTAAGTTTCTAAAATTTCCCTGAAATAATGGTTATACCAGAGATTTGGACATCTTTGAAAAAGCATAAGATGCCCAAAGCAATTAACAAAAAGATCTTCAAGCTTCATGTTTAGAAACCAGCATTCGTAACATTCTTTAGTAAACCCTACACTTCAGTTTCAACTTTCACACAAGCTCCTCTTACTACACCTTCATTTGTTTTCTTAACTACCACAATTGCTGATCAAGACATTGGAATCAGTCTCAGTTCTTCATAAAGCTGACCTAGCTGCCAAGTATTTAAATAGAACAAAGAAACCAATTAAAAGGATACTATTTATTTGAACAGAAATTATGACTAGAATCATATGCCTCAATACCTGATTTGGCATCAACCCAATGACCCATAAATCAGAAAAGGAAGAATTCCACTAAACTAAACCAACACAATTATGTACGTAAGTGATAGACCAAACAAGTGATATTGGCTCACATATCCTTATTTTATTACTTCATTCTTTTAACTTTCCACTAGTACATATAACCAGCAAATGCGTAATAGGAATATTTTAGCTGAGGAAAAGGAAGCTCACATGTTCTTCTCCTTCCATAAATAGATAAAGACTCAATTTTTTAACAAAATCAAAGAACGGCTCTACTTTGATAAAGAGTAATTGTGAATATGTTTTGTAGTTGCTATATTGCAAAGGAAGAATGGTCTAAATTCAGTGATCAGCCATCCTAAAGGCTTACACTGCCAAATTTTGTATCTGCCACCAATGGATTTTATTTAAGCAAATACAGGACGGAGCCCATTATACTTGAGAGACAGCATCCATCATTGAGAAAAATGCCGATAGCGCATCTTTGCGATTCATACATCAAGGTTTGAGCAGAAAATATGCAATGCATTGGATTAGAATATCCCTCATGATAGAATCATGATCTAAAATTTCAAAACATAGAGATCTATCAGCAACAGAAATTATAATAACCATTTACATTACATCTATTGCAACAAAGTAGAACAACGAGAACAGTATTGACAATGGAGGGGATAAGGAGTTAGCAGCAATTGGAATCAATCACCAGCAACAAATCAAACAGGGAAATGAAGGTACCTGCTAGAAACGACGAAGTACAAGTTCCCCTCACGCAAATTAGACTCAGCTTTGGCGGTCAGTTCTTGAACGATCCTCCTCTCTTCTTCCGGCTTGCACGGCAATTCTATTGACCCATTTTCCATCATGTAGTCATACCCCGATGAATCTGGAATCGTCATGATCTGCAACACGGCAAAATTCAAACACCAAGCAAACCCCCAAGCGTCAAATCAAACCAATTTCATCAAAGAAGCTCAAAAGGGCAAGATTTGTAAGAAAGACGAAAGGCAAACTCACAGCAGATCGGATAACAACACAGCTAATTGGTGAATTTCCGCCAAAGATTTGAAATTTTTCAGATTCAGATTGGTGTGTGAAATGCGGTGCACAAGATTACAAGTCGAGAAGAATTGGGCCTTACAGTAATGAGAAGCTCTGGATTTTCGATCTGCAAATTAGGAGGAGAAAATATAGACAAAAAAGTATTCTCTAGTTTTCTTCAGACTTGTCCTACACACACATGGGCGCACACGCACTACACATATACTCGCACTCACGCAAGGCATGTATTATATTGAACATAAAACTATGGCTTTCATATTTCTTGAACAATTGTTTGTTTTTGTAAATAGTGAAATCTTGGAAATTGTGATGTTAAAATGAGATTGATGATATTTAGTTGGTTTCACGAATGGGGTTTTGACCTCGGACCGTTTTGTCCAATTCAAGTGGTGGAACTCAATTTTAGATTGTACAACTTTTGGCACATCGTAAATGTTTTTAAGTATTAATATTGTCAAAAACCACAAATTAGTTTGACAGATATATATTCTTACTAAAAATATAAAATTATATCATGAAAAAATTGGTCGGTGTAGAGTGCACAACGTGGCTAAGAACACAGGATATAAACGGAACCAATGATAAAAAAATTTGTCTTTAGGGAGCATCTCACTACTCCTCATAACTCTTTTATTAGTAAATCGGTTGTCTCCTGCAGTATATAGTTTAGAATTACAAGTAAATGACCATCTTTTAAACCTACTACAACTATACTTCATCCTACTAATTACTTCCCTAATCACAAAATGTGGACTAACAGCTATTACAGGAATCGCGTCAAGCTGACAATACCTAAAGTACAAGGTCTAATGCTTCAGAGCATGTTTGTTTATAAGATTTTTCAAAAAATTTCCAACATTTTAACTCAACCACTTTTTTTAACTCAACTTTAACTCAACCTCATTATCATCAATATTATCAATATAATTAAATAATATCAATCAATCAATCAATCATACACACTGCATCAACCTTAATTCACTATTCATCTACTCACATTATTTTAACTAACTATCACTTCAAATCATCTCTCTCATACTTTTCCGTCAAATCAATTTTAATTATTTTATTTTAAATATTATTTTAATATACCCACTAACACCTAACCATACCACTTTTTTCAAAATTGACCAAACCAAACCAAAATATCTAAACAAAACTAAAAATTTCTATAAACAAACATATTCTCAATTTTCAGAAATGTTGGAACACAAAACTGAAATTTTGAATTTACAAACTACTCCCTCCTATTCATAATAAGTGTCGTTTTGAGAAGTTGCACAATAATTAAGAATTTTTTTTGTCAATAATAATCCTCATTAATGAAGATAGAGATAGATGTTTTGAGAAAAAATGAAAAGTGAATATGAAAAGACGTAGTATATTTATTAGCTAAATAGGGGTAATAATGAAAAAACATATACAAAAGATCCAAAACGTTATTTATTTGGTTAATGTTTGATAAAGCCAAAATGACATTTAAAAAGAATAGGAGGTAGTATAAAATATAATCAGCAGACTCTTTTGAACCTTAGAGAATAAACTAACTCAATATGCTCAGGAGAGAACAATAAAACTTATCATTCTCTTTATTTCGTGATTTAATATATATAGACAAAAGACAAATTATATCTAGGTAATGATACCTTGGATTGACGTGGTCTTCAGAATCATTTCTTTAGAGCTAGTTTCCTTCAAATAGATTCCTACAAATATGGGAATGAGAAAACCTTACATTAGTTATGGAATGACTAATCCTATGGAGATAAGTTTTATAATTACCATTGAAATGGTCATTCCTTTCAAAAATATATATCAATCATGGGATAAGGATTAAGGAATGTTTAAGAAATGATTATTTCATTCTCATGTCATTCCCTCATACCAATTATGCCATAAGTGCTTAGGGATTAACTACTTTTGCAGCTAGGAGGGATCCAGAGCTATTTTCGATGTCCACGCATATGGTTGAGTTCAATATTCCTCATGAGCCTTCATAGTCAACCGTCATTTTCGTGGCGGCCTTCGCCTTTTTCCTGATTTGCTCCATGGTAGCCGCTGCTGTCACCGCTCCTCCGGTGCTGACCGCGCCGGCGGCGGCGGCAGTCGTCATGCCCTTCGATCCCATACGGCGGTGGCTGAACTCGATCTAGAGAAACTGCGAACGCGACCTGGCGGCACAAAGAGAAATCGTGGGCTCGATGCAAATCGAGAGCTACATTGTGATCAAGGATCTTGATGGCATTCGGGTGCTCGTGGACAAGTTTTGGATTGAGATTGAGTCGTTGCTGATGGATGCTGATTTTACTGATATAAGAGACAAGGAGGAGGATGGGACACTGGTGGTGGTTGCAGTTGGAGAGATTAGGAAGAAGTAAACTTTTGAAGATATATCAATTTTTTTTTTAAAATATTTATCACATAATCAGTAAAGATATTGTTTCCAAAAGGTATGCATAACTATTTGTGTGCTTTGATTGGGGACATATATTANATAGAACTGCAATAAAAAAACTTTATTAACATAAGTGGATGTTTGAAAAGATTATCTAGGTATATGTGTGCTTTAGCCTCTAGATAATTGTTCGTTTACATGGATAGGCCCAACACGCCGACAAAGGACCCAATCGAGGTTGGTTAATTTGATCGATTTGCAACCAGATAGGTGAAACCCAGTCGACTCAAATGTGACCTAATTGATCTAGCATTAACCGGGTCAGATCAACCCAGTTGATCCAGCCATTTTTTTTTTCGAAATAAAAAGTACTATAATTTTTTTAAATGTTCTAAATTTTATAATTAAAAAAATATGTGTACATATTTATATAGTATATATTTATGACAAGATACAATAAAATTTTGAGGTATTAAATTTATATGTAAATTTATAAAAATAATATATAATTTTGACTCGGTGAATCAGACGCCAGTTATTGTCCGGGTTGGACATGAAACATTAATCTATATACAATTTTTACTGTCTTTTTATTTATTTATTTTATCTTTTAATTTCAGTTTGGGAATAAGGTATCTTTATTTTTCTTTCCAATATTCTTTTAAAACTAGTGTGTAGCCCGTGCGATGCACGGGTAAATAATATTAAATAATAATTATAAATTAACGATGATAGTAAACAATATTAACTAATAATTATAAATTAAATATGAGGTAAACAATATTAACTAAAAATTGTAATTAATTTGTGGAGTTAATATGTGACATAATTTATCGTATATCAGTTGTAAACAATATAAAATTATCTTGTATAAAATAACACAAAAAATGTATGTTTAAAATATTAAAAATACCTAAAATATTATATAACGTATGTGTGAAGTCACCCAAAATATTTCTAAACTATTTTATAAATAAAACATGTAGTCCATGTATCTCCTGTTAGTCAGGCAGAGTTATGTTCGCAGACAATTTTCCCCCGCCCCCAAATATTTTTCTAAATACTTCCTTGATTCTAAAATTTTTATTACCTTTTGAAGTGAAATTTTATAAATATAGAGACTGAGATTTTAATGTTCTTCATTATTTCTATGAAAAAAATAAAAATGTACACTTAATAGACCTTAGCTGAAATTTTTAAATAATAAAATGAATTAAAGCCCAAAATTTAATGCAACATTTAATGTTGTATAATTTTTTAAAGATAAAAATAAAAAAATAATAAAACTTACTATTTATAGGTTGCATTAAATTCTCTCCTATTTTCTTGCTACTATTTTTGTTAAATGCTAATTCTTATTATATATATATACAGATTCCGTTTAAGAAACCAAGTCCCAAACATGATGAGATTAACGAGATGAACCATCATGACCACTGCAAGAAATTCACAAGTTACCAACAAAAAGGTCTCAACAATAATCACCTATATGATTACTTTTTTCCTTTTCATTCCTACGGTTGTTCAGTAAACAATCAATCAGATAAGTTGCATATTAGCTTTGTCTATGCCTAATTTTATTGTTTAAGCATATTCTGGTAAAACCCGGAATTCTAAAAAAAAAATTATAAGAGATTTTTTTTATTTAAATTTTATATACGTTTTTAAAAAGATGTATAATAATTTTATATTGTAGATGAGACTTTACACTTCTACGATTTTCCCACCTTATATTAATAATTTTTTTATAATCTTTTTAATTCTTATGTAATGAATTTATAAATAATTTTTTTAGTTGATATAAAATTTTATTTTTAAATAGTATTAGTAAATGATTTAATTTTATAATAACAAAATTATTTATTATATATATATATCAAATACAAAAACGATTAATTTGATATGTTATATATAAAAAATGATATCAAATACAAAAGTTCTTAACTTAAATATATTTATAATTTAAGCTAATAAAGTGTTTTATTATTTTAAAAGTCATAATAGTTATCAATCATTAGAATTCAGACCTACAAGTATACAAAATTGACACATAAAATTACCAAACACTATTTAAGACTACTAAACACTATAAATATACACAAAATTGACAAATAAGATTACCAAACTACTAAGCACTATAATATCGNGATGTCCTTTTTTATAAACAAAATTTATGATAATTTTGCTACAACTTACACCGTGCTAGTGCAAAATTTCAAAATCCCTCACATCTGTACTATTTTTCGTAATAATAAAATAACAATAAGACGGACAATAATTAATTGAGAATTTCAATTTTTTCACAAAAAAAAAAAGATAAAAAATAATAATTCAAATATATTTCCTAAATATAGACTGAGAAGGCAGAGGGGCAAAACGGCCGGGGCAAAATGTTGGCACAAGAAAGGCAAAACCTGCAGCACTTGCGCTGCCCACCACTGCAACTGCCACTGCGCCACCGCAAACCACCACTGTCTCCTCCGTACGGCACCGAACCACCGTCCGCCACGTGTCCGACCCTTCTCCTAACGTATTACATACAACCCATCTCTCTCACATACACTTTCCATTTTGAAAGCCTTTCTTATTTTCTGCAACCTCTGCCTTTGTCTTCACTTAGAAATGGTGAAAGTTTAGAAAACACAAGCCTGCACGCATTTAATGTCTCTGTGTGCTACGAAGTCGGTTTGAGAAAAAAAAAACAAGGAAAATAAAAAGAAAATGGGTTCTCTTTATGTACCTTTTATCAAATTTTCATGATTCAAACATGGTGTTCCTGAAGAATGTTTATGGGAAAGAGGCGAAAGGTAATAAATGTATAATGAACCTACGACAGCGGTTTCAAGAAACCTTTTCCTCCCAGGCCCGCATAAGCACAACAAATAGACATCATCGTAATAATCAGTGGCCATCGAAGAGAATGAATGAAGGGGAGGATGTGTACAGGAAGCAGATCGAGGAGCTGGAAGAGTTGTTCTCTAAGCTAAATCCTATGGCTCGGGAGTTTTTGCCTCCATCACTTGCTATTTCAGATATGCCCATGGACTTTAATGGCGGATGTGCCTCGGCTGCTGATGCTATGGACGATAACGGGCTTGGCAACAGCAATGGAAGCAGGGGGCCGAGAGGGGTATTCTCTCGTTTTTCTCACTGATCTGTTTTGGACTTTTCTTTTTTTGGTTCTTTTCTCCTTTTCATTTATACGATTTTGTTGCTCTGCTTTGGACTTGTTCTAATCCCGATTTTCTGTTTTGACTGATGTCTTTTATTTTATTTCGTTCATAAGGCCAAGAAGTGGACGAACAGCAGGACTACCATGGCTCAACGTGAAGAAAAAATTCGAAGGACTGTTTATGTTTCTGACATCGATCAGAAGGCAAGTTATCTCTGTATAGTTTTGCTGGATAGTTACTTTTTTGATGGTTAGCATGGACTTGATGAATGTGTATAGCTGCTTGTAAGAATGTGCTTATTTTGATGAACAGGTCACTGAAGAGCAGCTAGCTATGTTATTTTCGCATTGTGGGCAGGTGACTTTTGTGTGCTCTTTGAGTTTTCTGTGAGTGATTTTTTGTTGCTAATCTCTTATAACATTCTTTGCCTTTTAACCGGAAAGGTTGTGGACTGCCGTGTATGTGGAGACCCGAGATCTGTTCTTCGTTTTGCTTTCGTAGAGTTCACTGATCAGGGTAATCTATAAAAAAATACTTACATTTTTGTTCAGTTTCTTTCACATGTGTGTTTATCAAATAAATAAACAATCCTAAGTATAATTAATGGTTTGGCAGAGTCTGCTCGTATTGCATTAAGTCTGTTCGGTACTGTTCTTGGATATTATCCGGTCAAGGTCTCACCTTCCAAGACAGCAATTGCACCTGTTAATCCTACGTATTTGCCTCAGGTTGGAATTGGATTGACTTGCTGAAATTTGCCGTTCTCTTACATTTGCACGTTTTTGAAAAATATTGATTCGACTCCTTCACATTCTTTAAAATTATTAACTTCAGACATCGGTTGAACGAGAGATGTGCTCAAGAACAGTCTATGTTACGAATATCGACAAGAAGGTATGTGAGTATTATATGGTTTCTATGCCATCTAGAAAGAAGAAAGAAAACAAGACTCTGAAAAAATGTGATTTCTATTATTCTTCTTATTTTCTATTTTATTTTATTTTTCAGGTTTCTCAAACGAAAGTGAAGCTCTATTTCGAAAGTCTCTGTGGGGAGGTTTGTAGGTTCTGTAATTAAAATTCTTTATGGCCTCATGTTTTATCAAACTGATGATGAGTTTAGTGTTTCAATAAATCGTTCTTGATTAAGGTATATCGCTTGAGGCTGCTAGGAGATAATCACCACTCTTCACGGATTGCATTCGTGGAATTTGTGGCGGTAGCAACTCTTATCTTCTTCTGTAGTTTTTTAGCTTCTACGTCAATAAATAGTTTACATTTAGTAGAGGATCTGAAGCATGAAAACTGAAATATATAATCATCATGCGGATGGTTTACTTGAAATCTAAATTAGATAATCTTCATGGGAATATTCCAGAGATTCTCAGAATAACGGCGTAATGTTTGAATTTCTAATCAATAACTAGGTGAGGCTTCATAACTTTGGTGTTCATTTACAGCGTCATGAAGGTTATAAAAAACTATTGTCTATGGTGCATTTTCAAAATATTGGCGTTACTCTCATTCAACATTGTTTGTAAGTATGCAATTACACTGTCAAGCTACCATAAGAAGCACAATATCCCTTAACTATTTCTTTTCGGAAATTAAGAGAAATTAAATATTTTGAATTCCCTTGACATTTCCCCAGAAGATGAGTTATTTATTTGACGATGTGTTAGAAAAGCTAAAGTAGCTTTTCCCTTGTTAGTACTTGCCAATTATACAGACAAACAGCAGAGTGAATAAGTAGTATCAAATCAAGGTTTGTTTTTGCTCGTGGGATATATAGCTTCTTAGCCGTTTGGTCTTTTGTATTGTATACAGTTTGTTTTTTCATTCTCTCCTTCATTACCATAGTTATTATTGCATCATTGCTGTTTGCTCTATCATCTAAAGTTAATTATCCTTGAATTTCTTTAAACCCAAAATTTGAAGGATATGATATGATTACATTATTTTGTGTATAGTTTGCACTTGTTATGGCCATTATACTTACTCGTGTATTTACGTTTTATGGTTCAGGCAGAAAGTGCAATTGCTGCTCTCAACTGTACTGGAGTGATGTTGGGGTCCCTGCCAATAAGGTGTTATAGCTTTTGATATAATCCTTTTCTGGTATTAATTATCAATGTTGTTTATCCTAACTTGCTTCTGTTTTGTGTTTGGTATGTGTGATATCAGGGTAAGCCCGTCAAAGACTCCTGTCCGTGGTAAAGCTCATCGTCCTAAAACTCACTAAACCAGCAGCTTTTTTGTTTCATAAGCAAACAATATTATCAAGAGTAATAATTTGGTTTTCTACAGAGATTGTTACGAGTGTCTTTGTTTTGGTTTACGTACATGACTCTCGTCAAAACTCTTATGATTGTGGTTGATGTTTATAAGTGTCGGAGCATATCTTTTCTGCTATTATATATTACGCTTCTAATACCTGAAGTCGGTACACATTTCTTGTTCACAAATCTGCATTTGTTGTTCACAATGAGCACAGATTTTCCTTTTAGTAAAAATAAAATTTAGGAATATGTGGTAATAGGATACAATAATGTAATTTGTCTTTGTGAGTCTTTCATCAAGTACATTATTTGCTTAATTACATGGGATCTGAATATGAAACATCAAGGCTGAAAATCTTGGGAGTAACATATTATGCAAGAAACTTTATTGGGAAAAAAACATATGCATATCTTCCTGCATTTGGTCAAAGACTCAAAGGTGAAGAAGGCATCTCAAAGATTTGCCATCTCTGAGTAGCTGCATGGCTTCATTGATGTTTTCAAATGGCATCTCATGAGTTATAAATTCATCCAACTTCACCACCTGTCATAAAT